TTAACATCCTCATGGACCTGCATTAGGCGCAATGAGGTCAGCGGGGCTTAGACTGCTGAAGCCTGGAAAAGAAAAGACTGCAGGGACCAGCCTAGTAGCAGGAAGGGACCAAGGATCAGTTGAGTATATTTTTTATTTGAGCCCACTTGACAAAATGAGCATTTAACCCTTTTAGTGCAAGGGTATCCCCACTACTAGTGCACTTGTTTAGATTTCTGGAGTTGCTCTATGGGGCTGATGTATAAGCTTTGCACGGTATTACAGCCACTAGATGGAGATAGAGGAGCAAAGCAATTTCCTGTGCTGCCCAGCTCCATCTATTCCTAGTAATCCCATGTTCATGGCATTCACCAAGCTACATGCTGGGCCAGGGCAGGATTAAGAGCATCATGGACCTAGTGCTGTTGGTAGAACAGGAAGCAGCAGAGGCGGCTTTCTAATTAGGTATAGAAGTGAGCAGCCACCTAATTAGAGAGCCCCGGCTGGTCCGGATTACCATCATGTACAAGGGGATCCGGGCCAGCTGCGCCTATTCTCAGTGGTGGAGCTGGTGCTCCACTATCCACTATGTTAATCCAGTCTTGCGCTGTGCAAAGCTTTTATACATCAGCCCCTATGTTAACATAACAGGGCTGGATCAGTATTCTGGTACAGAAATGCACTGAACAATGGGGATGTAGATTTCCAACTCTTATTTAATAAAGACCAGATAAACTTTCAGCTGAAATCAGCTCAACACATTCCAAGTGCATGAAAACCAAAGATGTGCAAAGTCTGTCCCCTGCAGAGATGGATGCTTGCTCTCTGTGTGGAAACAGCGGTCTCTCTGCAGAGGTCAGACACGCTCCCTACTGAAACAGCAGTGCTAGAGTTTTCCAACCTGCCAGGAGAGTTTTAGGTCTATCTACAATTGTCTACAATTGTCTAACTTCCCCGCACAGCCACAACTACTTTCCTCCAGTCAGGGAGCTGTTATGGAAATTCGCTTGGTTAAACGCACAAATCCGTGCTGCGCTAAACTGCGCCAAAGTATGTCAAACACAAAGAATTTCCCCCGTGCTTAAAAGCAGAGTTGTATTACGCTCTTTTGTGCAATGAGCGGATGTACCTCTGTAGAGTCAGGACACGTGTTGCTTTCATGCTGATGGTTCCGTTCTTAGAGACTTTGTCTCCTGGCTCCCTTTATTTTAGATAGGTCAGACAGGAAGTGATGTCTCAAACAGGAAACCAGGAAGTGATGTCAACAACCAACATCACTTCCTCAATACCTCAACATATCATAGCCAGCCAACAAAGCACATGTACGCAAAAGAAAAGGGAGTGTATGTCTGTATCATAGTAGAAGCGGTGTGCATAGCCCATAGACCCGTGTGCACAGCCGCATGTTTTCCTAGCCGCCATCTTTCCAGACCCACAAACACAATCTCCCATTACCACTGGAGCGAACCTTATCCAGCAGTGCTCAGTGAGCAATGCCCAATAACGTTACTATGATTCCTATGAATGCATGCTTATCTGCAGGGACAATGCCATACTATCACCAGCAAGCTGATCAGACGCATCAGAAATACGAACGCACGTTCCTTTCATAAAGGCAGATATGTATTTAAATAATACTATGTCCTCAAAGCAAGTTGTATACACGCCAAACCAATAAATCCGCGTTTTGCGCAGGGGCCCTAGCTTGGCATCCACACACTCGCTAAGAAAACATTGCTCCGCTACGCATAAGATATCTACTCCAATGGTTTAACCCCAGTGTCTATTTAAATCCGGGTCACGCTCCAATCGAGCATGGCCCAGAAATCCAGACACTGGCATGATGACAATATTACTATACACCCCGTCTCTGCTGATTAGAGAGAAGTATCTGTGACTATTCTGGGGGTGAGTCTGACTGCTAGGGATAGACTGCTGCATTTACACCGAGGGAGGTGTTGTTCCCTATACCCTGTGGCTCACTCTTGGACAGGGCCAGATTAAGTTTATCAGGGGCCTGGTGCTGTCGGTCGGAAGCAGCAGGGGCGTTTCTCCATCTAAAATGCCTAATTAGAGAGCCACCAGCGCCTCTGCCTGATTGTGTTCAGCCCGAGTGGCCCAGATTGCCATCGGGCATACTGAGGTGATCTGCGCCAGCCTGGCCTATTTTCAGTGGTGGGCCTGGAGCTGGCACTTCACTAGCCCCTATGTTAACTCAGTCCTGCTCCTGGACTGGCACTGGCACACAATTTAAGAAACACAAAAGAAATACAAAGCAAAGAGAAACAGATACATGTTGTTGTTATTTTCTAGCGGACATCAGCAGTTTCCGCCGTCAGCTGTCTGCGTACCCTGATTCATCACTGAGGATGATATTCGAGTATTACAGAGATGATCTGACCTGCATCCTGGAGAACTTGGACACTGGAGCCCTCCTGAAAGAGATGAAATGTCGGAATGTCTTAAACACAGATGTAAGGCAAATATATTCCTAAATGAACAGCTATATATGTCTATATTGGGGAGAACCTTGTGTAGATATCACTGCAGCTGACGTTCTGGGGAAATTGTGACTTTCTCTGTAAAAGTCAAGGTTAGTCCCGCCCCTTCCTCCTGAGCGTGGGGAGTCCTGTGTATAACATCAGCTGCCTATCATTCTGTATCTCCTCATCATTGTCTTCATGTCTGTGTTAAGGTGCAGACATCGTACGATAATCGCGGGTGATCCTGCGATCGTACGATAATCGGCAGGTGTATGGAAGGCGTGCGACCGTTTCTACTGTACGGTCGCACGTCTTTTGTCTCCCGAGCAGGCTCGAAAACCCGCCGAGAATCGTACGATTTTCGGCGGGTTATTTATACCTGGTGATGTCATCATTGGGTCTCTGTGCCTCTCTATGCAATTGAGCTCTGATGGAAGCAGTGGGCCGGCTCTTGGGAGGAGTTATGCAACTGTGATCGCTGTGATCCTGCCATCGCTGCTAGCCTTGGGCGACTCCCTACTTAGCTTCTGCTCTCGGGCACTGATTGTTCAGTGGGGCCCAAGCAGTGGAGGGTGTGGCAATTTCAGGAGAGAGATTCAACGGCCGGGGGAGGACGGAGTCCCGAAGACCAGCGGAGAGAGGTAGGTGAGGGGACTGCACACATATTACAAGTGATCGCGGCGACATCGCCGCAATCACTTGTAAACGAACGGCCGGATTCCCCACTTACCGCCCTGTGCCCGGAACTACATGTTCCAGGCGTCGGGGGACTCCACGGCACTGCCGCCCCTCTGCTACGTGCCGCCCCGAGGCCGGTCCTCGGTGGCCTTGTGGGGAATCCGGGCCTGCTCATCCCACTTCTTTCCTAACTCCATCATTCTTTTCCTCCTTCTGGTACATGGGATGACAGTTGTGGAGGTCATCTCCACCTCACATAGAGGGGTCGGAGAACTGCTCTCCTCTATCCAACGTCCATTTATGATTTTGAAGTACTGCTATGCAGTGTAGATAAGTCCCTCTTGAGAAAACTGTGTGTACTGCACTTACCGTTACACATATGGTGCCCATGGTGAACAAGGTGAACATGTTTTTTCTATGAATACCCAATTATGTACTTAAAATCATCTTTTTTTATCTTCCTTGTGTAGCGCTACCCCCGCAAGGGCCGCTGTAATATAAGGGTCTTCTGTCCCACACCAGTGATGACTCACCCGTACCTGGATCCAATGACACCAACACACCGTGGCATTCCTGAGAACACTTGTAAAGAAACAAGTCATTTCTCCTATTCTACATTTAGCTCTGCTTGTGCAAAGCAGGGCTAAATGTAGAAAGTAAATTACCGCCCGGTGCCCGGAACTCTATGTTCCGGGTGATTCAAACCTGTCCCGCCAAGGCCTCGGTGGCCTTGCCGGGAATCCGGCCCTGTGTCCGTTCACTTTAACCGCCAGTAAGAGGCATTGCCTGAAATGCAATGAGCGAATGGTGAACAACACTGTCAATTGCACAATACAGGAATACCGTTCAACAAGTACCAAAAGTCATATGACTGACTGTAAGAACCTATCTAGGTCTTGTAGGTTCTAGCTAACCACTGGCCAGTGGGAATTCTACACACAGAGTCTGCCAGCGTTGGGGCCCTTTAAATTCTGTGGTTGGGTACTCAGCCTTTTGTAAAACAATATTTGTAATCCACAGGATGGAAAGGGGTATCTTCACAAAATGTCACCGGGTAACCAACATTACTAGGTGCGGTGATCCACCTTCAGATAAAGCTGCATTGGCAGTTAATAGGATCTAGCAGGAATAAGCAAGATTAATTCACACAAAGATGGCAAAAGATCTCTCACCATTAGATGAACTTTATGTATCTTCCTTCCAGCAAATGGTAGCTTGATAGCTGTCTCAGCCGACTCGATGGAGATGGGTGGAACTCAGGCCGCAAAATCCCCCAATCTGGCTGATGATGGCTGCAGTACCGAAATGTGACTCTAGATGTCACTGCACTGTTAGCACATCTTCAGAGATCAGACATAAGAGTAGAATAACACACTGAAAACTCCCCTCTCAAGCCTGCACCTCCCTTTATAAGTCTACACAAGAATCACAGGCTCTGGCAGTGCACAAGCGACAAAACACAAGAGACACTTCCCCTGTCTGGCTGCCGCATACCAGTCTGTGTCTCCCTCCCTGTGTTTCCCTCTATCCCCTCAGTCGGCTCTCGTCGGGTGGTGGGCGGGGCTAAATGGCCTGGCAGCTAAACACAGCTCTCCTGGGCTGCTATCCAATCAAGTCCTTCTTTGCCTTTGTTGTTAGGGGTGGGCTTCCTTCTTAGCTACAGCAGTAACCAATCCAAGAACAATCCTGCAGCTTCAGCCAGTAGAGTGTCCCCTCCAGTCTCTGTGGGCTATCAGTCTAGCCAGAGAAATGCAATGCAGTGTTTCAGAGAGCAATACTCTGCATATACTACAGGAGCAATACTCTGCCTGTGCTACACTTGCCTGTGATTGGCTGTTCACCTATTTCAACATCATACACTTTGCAAAGCGAATACACACTGTGAAAGGTGAATATTGACTGCTAGGTGATCATCCTCTACTCCAGGGACGGCCAAACTCCGGCCCTCCAGCTGTGGTGAAACTACAAATCCATTGAAGCATCTCTCTCCGGTAGTCATGTCTGTGGCTGTGAGAATCTTGCAAATCCTCATGGGAATCGTAGTTCCACCACAGCTGGAGGGCTGCAGTTTGGCCATCCCTGCTCTACTCCATTAGTAAATGAACCCCTCTGGGGTAAAAATTATGCCTGGTGGAGCACATACCCGCTGCAGACTCCCAAAACCTTCTTGTCACTGCACAATGCTGGGCTGTTCTGACAGGTCAAGGTAAGGCCCTACCCAATCCTATTGGCCAATGAACTAGCCCATTACTGTGATGGACCAGTAGAAATATATGAAGGAGAGGCTTAAGGGCACAACCCAGATGTGTCAATGTTTTTTGTGTCACAATTGCCCTGCATTCGGCCATGACAGGAGGGTTTGGCAGGCTGCCTCGGGTAGATGCCTGCACTTCATATCTGCAGTATGCCCCCCATCCCCTCCCTTTCCCTTCTTGACAATTTTTTACAAAAAACTATTATATTTGTGTTTCAGACCTACCTGGCGAGAAAACAACACGATTCCTTCTCTCACACCTTGTTAGAAGATATTCGGGAACGGGGAAGAAAAGCTGTGATTGGACTCTGGGAAAGTCTCTATGCACTAAAGACAAATTATCCTCATCCTAATTTATCAGCGGCTCTGGATGAGATCACCAAGACAGGTAACAGGACTTTGTGTGATAACAATTGTGACAATCCTGGGACAGTTTCATTGTGCTGGGAGGGAGGAACCACAGCGGGGAATGTGGTCCTCCAATATTTCAGAAGTCTCAGATGAAGATTCCTCAAGAGGGTGAAATTCAGAGACACGGGCAGAAGGACAGGCAAGTATGAATGATCTTCTTTTTTGGAGCCAATTGTTTACAATTTTTGTTTTGGTCACTTTAGAGCTTTGGTTCTCAACTGGTGGGTCGTGACCCAAAAGTGGGTCGCAACCCCATGTTCAGTCGGTCACTGCACGCCTTCCACTTTTCTAGGTGAGAGGCTCATCAGCCTCCCCCTAGCGCAGCACTGTCAGTTCTCACACCAAGCAGCCATTCAAAATATGCTGAGTGTCAGCTTGAGGTGGGATGGGATGGGATTATGGCCGCGAGGGAGCTCCATCCATACCTGCGTTGCTTACAGCTCTCGCGTGTGCCCTGTAGAGGTGCCTGGACCGGAGTGACATCACATTCTGGCTCCCGGCACCTCTACAGGGCACACAAGGGAGCTGTACCAGCAATGCGCATATGGATGGCGCTCCATCACAGCACAGCAGGGACGTGCGGTTAGGGGAGGCAGGTGAGGCAGGGCTTCACCTAGAATTATGGGGGGAAAAGCTGTCAGCTTCATGTCTGAAGCTGACAGCTTTTTATCCATTCAGATCAGCATCTAACAGGTTACACAGCAGGGAAATCCTCCCCACTGTGTAACCTGTCATGGACGGAGCACCTCAGCAGTGAGGAGCAAGTGAGGGACATGGAGGCTCCTCCCCTCCTCCTTTACACTAGCTTGGGGACGGGTTGGGCGGAGCTTTGTACGACAGGGGGCAGAGCTTCATTTGACAGGGGGCAGGGGTTTGGTCAGCGGGGGCGGGGCTCACCCGGAGCAAGAGGTACCGCATGTCACTGCAGCAGAGTAGCCCAGACTGGACCCCAGGCTGAGGATTCACTCCGGTTCTCGTAAGATAGGAAGACTGGGTGGACCTTAAAGGCAAAAAAATTAAAACCTTTTTGGCGTGTGTGTGTCAGTGTTTTTGGTTGCCCGTTCACATTACTACAGTGTGTTAATCGCACAGTCCCGTGTGATTAACACACTGTACCACGTAAATTAACACCCACCACAATTTCTGGTGTGAGAGGTGTGTTGCATTGCCATTCATTTGAATGGCACCCCAAACGCGCCTCCCGCCCACAGTTCTATTGCCCGCATCGGAATGCGCAGTACCGCAATGCCGTGCGTTCCATTGCAGTGTGACTTGGGTCACGACTTAGTGACCAAGGACAAATGTGGGTCCTGAGGTTACACAGGTTGAGAACCACTGCTCTAGAGGGAAATATTTATTGTTTTTAACATATTTGTCCATTTGTCAGCCTACAAAAAACATGGAGCAGGGTATTTATAAAAAAAAAAGTAAAAGCCTTATATGTCCTTAAAAAAAAGCAAAAGCATATTTAGGTGGAAACAACTAGTCAACTAGTTCAGCTTCCTCAAATTATAAGACTTTATCTAGCAGACACACCAAGGTTTGAAAAAAAAAAAGCGACATCCGTGGTGTGTGTCCCCGGGTGCCTTCCCCTTTTCTAGGTGAGAGGCTCCTCAGCCTCCCCCTAGCGCACTGTCAGTTCTTGCACCAAGCAGCCATTCAAAATATGCCTCCCAGAGCCGAGTGTCAGCTTGAGGAGGGATGTGATAGGACAATGGCTGCGAGGGAGCTTACAGCTCCCTCTCATGTCCTGTAGAGGTGGCTGGCCCGGAGTGACGTCACATTCTGGCTCCAGGCACCTCTACAGGGTGTGCGAGGGAGCTGTACAAGCAATGCACATATGGATGGAGCTCTGTCACAGCACAGCAGCCCACACTGGACCCCAGACTAAGGATCTACTCCAGTTCTGATAAGGTAGGGAGACTGGATGGATCTTAAAAAAATAACTTTTTTTTTTGGTGGGGTCTCTGGTGGGCTGTGCGGAGTCTCAGGTGGGCTGTGTGGAGTCTCTGGTGGTGTCTCTGCTGGGCTGTGCGAACTTTAATGTGGGCTGTGCGAACTTTAATGTGGGCTGTGCGGAGTCTCAGGTGGCCTGGTGGGGTCTCAGGTGGGCTGTGCGAAGTTTTAGCTGGGCTGTGCAAAGTTTTAGGTGGGCTGTGCGAAGTCTCAGGTGGGCTGTGCGAAGTCTCAGGTGGGCTGTGTGGTGTCTCAGGTAGGTTGTGTGGAGTCTCTGGTGGCCTGGTGGGGTCTCTGGTGGGCTGTGCAAAATTTTAGGTGGGCTATGCGAAATTTTAGGTGGGCTATGCGGAGTCTCAGGTGGGCTGTGTGGAGTCTCAGGTGGCTTGGTGGGGTCTCTGGTGGGCTGTGCAGAGTTTTAGGTGGGCTGTGTGGAGTCTCAGGTGGGCTGTGTGGAGTCTCTGGTGGCCTGGTGGGGTCTCTGGTGGGCTGTGCAAAATTTTAGGTGGGCTATGCGAAATTTTAGGTGGGCTATGCGGAGTCTCAGGTGGGCTGTGTGGAGTCTCAGGTGGCTTGGTGGGGTCTCTGGTGGGCTGTGCAGAGTTTTAGGTGGGCTGTGTGGAGTCTCAGGTGGGCTGTGTGGAGTCTCTGGTGGCCTGGTGGGGTCTCTGGTGGGCTGTGCAAAATTTTAGGTGGGCTATGCGAAATTTTAGGTGGGCTATGCGGAGTCTCAGGTGGGCTGTGTGGAGTCTCAGGTGGCTTGGTGGGGTCTCTGGTGGGCTGTGCAGAGTTTTAGGTGGGCTGTGTGGAGTCTCAGGTGGGCTGTGTGGAGTCTCTGGTGGCCTGGTGGGGTCTCTGGTGGGCTGTGCAAAGTTTTAGGTGGGCTGTGCGGAGTCTCAGGTGGGCTGTGTGGAGTATCTGGTGGCCCGGTGGGGTCTCTGGTAGGTTGTGCGAAATTTTAGGTGGTCTGTGCGGAGTCTCGGGTGGGCTGTGCGGGGTTTGTGCTTTGTGCAAGTTGTGCTTTGCGCTTTCAAAGCGGTTTAAACTTACCTGTGTCTTCCCCGCGCGCTCCCGTCCGAAAATCCGAACCTGCTCGGGCGGCCGCAAAGCATCCTGTGGCAGGCGCATGCGCAGTTCGGATTTTTTGCCGGGAGACGAGGCGAGACGCA